TCTCTCTCTCTCCAGGTTCCTCCGCTTTGTGTACGACAACGAGTTCATGAGCTAAGGGGCCGATGTCGAGGGCTGAGGCTGCGGCGGCTGCTGTTGCTACGGCTGCTGCTGTGGTTGCTGCTGCTGCTGTTGCTATGGCTGCTGTTGCTATGGCTGCGGTTGCTGCTGCTGCTGTTCTTGCTGCTGTTGCTATGGCTGCGGTTGCTGCTGCTGTTGCTATGACTGCGGTTGCTGCTGTTGCTATGGCTGCGGTTGCTGCTGCTGTTGCTGCTGCTGCTGTTGCTATGGCTACGGTTGCTGCTGCTGCTGTTGCTATGGCTGCGGTTGCTGCTGCTGTTGCTGCTGCTGTTGCTATGGCTGCGCTTGCTGCTGTTGCTGCTGCTGTTGCTATGGCTGCTGTTGCTGCGGCTGCTGCTGTTGCTATGGCTGCGCTTGCTGCTGCTGTTGCTGCTGCTGCTGTTGCTATGGCTGCGGTTGCTGCGGCTGCTGCTGTTGCTATGGCTGCGCTTGCTGCTGCTGTTGCTGCGGCTGCTGCTGTTGCTATGGCTGCGCTTGCTGCTGCTGTTGCTGCTGCTGCTGTTGCTATGGCTGCGGTTGCTGCGGCTGCTGCTGCTGCTATGGCTGCGCTTGCTGCTGCTGCTGTTGCTGCTGCTGTTTGTATGGCTGCTGCTGTTGCTGCAGCTGTTGCTGCAGCAACGGAATTCCCATACAAGTCGTATGAGGTTGCTGTAGCAAGTTGGCGGACTGCAACTGAACATCCCCAACGGTGTTCGCGTGGGGACCTCTCGCCTTGACAACAACGGCATAATGGGTCGACGTTTCGGGCAAACGGCCCCTCACCTCGAGAGCACGCGGCCGTGTTGGCCGCATCTCGTGCCGCCCTGACACGTGCACCAGCTCGATTCGCCGATTGTATTTTCCGCGCTCACAAAGAGACGCGGCTGAGTTTGCTCCTCTCGGCGATCGTGAAAACGTGCGGCGTGGTGTGGGAATGAGAACGGCACGCACGCAGAGGGGATATTAAACCCGCAGCGTGATTTGTGTGCGTGCGTGTGTGTGTGCGTGCGTGTGTGTTGGTGTGTGTGCGTGTGTGTGTGCGCGTGTGTTGGTGTGTGCGTGTGTTGGTGTGTGTGCGTGTGTGTGTTGGTGTGTGTGCGTGTGTGCGTGCGTGTGTTGGTGTGTGTGCGTGTTGGTGTGTGTGCGTGTGTTGGTGTGTGTGCGTGTGTTGGTGTGTGTGTGTGTTGGTGTGCGTGCGTGTGTGCGTGCGCGTGCGTGCGCACGTGCGTGCGTGCTCGTGTGTGTGCTGGCTAACAGCACTTGCCCCTACAGTCCGTGAAGGCTATATGGGGGATCTTTATCTTTGTGTGCGGTCGGGTGGCCGCCGGTGGGTCGGTAGCGTGGCGGTGTCTGCAGTGCGTTGCCCGCACCGCCACTCGATGTGTCATCGCGGATCCGTGTTCACCTGGCAACCCGGTTGGGGGTGGGGGAGGTAATGCGCACGTGGGCAGAGATTTGTGAGCTTCTCTCTCGCCGCTGATTGGCTGTGGTTGTTGTGATTTGCTGTGTTGTTGATGTGGTCGTTGTAGTTGTCGCTCGTTGGTAAATGTTCATCGGCGGCTGGGAGGAGATGGGGGAGAGGGGATGGAGGGTGGGGAAGCAGAATGAGTCAGGGCCCGCTGATGGAAATACAAACTCAATTCACTCAACAAAAGGTCCCCCGTGTAGTCTTAACAGCCTCTTGGGGCAAGTGCAGCTAGCGAGCACCTATGAAGGCCAGCACGGCACACGAGGGGGTGGGTGGCCAGCAACACACCCGGCCGCCTTTGTCTCCCCTGTGGCGATGTTAACACACCGCACCGGGTACTCATTTAAGGCTGAGTCGACCTAGGGGAGGAGGCCGAGGATCGGTTCAGATAATCGTCACGGGCGTTGGCCGTGAGCGGTAATCGAATTCGGATCGCCGGGTTCGTAGCGCGGCGCGCGCTAACCGCTTACACTATAAAGGCGCACACACAACACCTGCACACACACAGACATCTACACACACACACAGACACACACCCACAGACACCTACACACACACAGACACCTGCACACACACATGCGCAGACATCTGCACACACACGTGGCACCGCCAACCTCTTGTTTACCAACTCTGTTTACCGAACGAGGTGAACATTTGACAAAGTGCCCTCGGATCTTCTCCCACCCGCCCCACCCGGCTCCTTCTTTCAAAGCTTCCCCTCGGTGGAGTTATTTTACACCCCCCTCCCCTCCACCACAGCCGTCTTTGTCTTCCCCCCATTCGCCCACCCTCCACACCCCACAGCCTCTTTAAGTCTCCCCCCACCCCTCTGCCCCCCCACAACCCTCTTTAAGCCTCCCCACCCACCCACCCACACAAACCCTCTTTAAGTCTACCCACCCACCCACCCACACAACCCTCTTTAAGTCTCCCCACCCACCCACACAACCCTCTTTAAGTCTACCCACCCACACAACCCTCTTTAAGTCTCCCCACCCACCCACCCACACAACCCTCTTTAAGTCTCCCCACCCACCCACCCACACAACCCTCTTTAAGTCTCCCCACCCACCCACCCAATCCCCCGACACGCCCGAGCCACTCGCAGCAGCAACAACAAAACTTGAAATAAATAAATAAATAAACAAAGCGAAGGCACAATCATGCGATCGAGCAGGTGCGGGAGGGGGGCGGGCAGCAACCCTTGGCTAATGTAAATTATTGTTGTTGGTAACCGCTGCCAGCTAAGTTTAAAAAAAAACTGGGTTCAAATCCAGGGCACTGGACCCACGATTCAAACAGCTGGGAAGCATGTGTCACGGAGAGGTGTCCTTGCCGATTCCTCGAGTGGCACAGAGATCCATAGAGTTGCATTGAGATCCGCAGAGTTGCATGGAAATATCCACAGAGTTGCATAGAGATCCATAGATTTACACAGAGATCCATTCAGTTGCATAGAGAGCCATAGAGTTACATAAAGATCCATAGAGTTACAATAGAGATTCACAGAGTTACGTAGATATTTATAGAGTTTGCATCGTTAGCCATAGAGTTGCATAGAGTTCCAAACAGTTGCAAAGATATTTATGGAGTTACATAGAGATCTATAAAGTTACACGGAGATCCACAGAGTTACATCGAGATTCGTAGCTTGTTGCAGAGATTCATAGAGTTTACATAAAGATTGAGACTCAGAATGCGACACGGCAAGAGAAAGCCCTGTCTGGGTGGTGCTCGTGGCTGGGTGAACGTGGCTTTGTAAGAGTGGCATGGAGGAGGTCGTGGGTTCGATCCCGACCATGACGCCTGCTGTATATTTGGAGTTTGCGTGTCTCTCCCCATCATCATCATCATCGACGGTGATTAGGTGATGTTAAGCACCTCGCCTGGTATGCAGGAGGTCGTGGGTTCGATCCCGACCATGGCGCCTGCTGTATAGTTGGAGTTTGCGTGTCTCTCCCCATCATCATCATCATCATCGACGGTGATTAGGAGATGTTAAGCACCTCGCCTGGTATGCAGGAGGTCGTGGGTTCGATTCCGACCATGACGCCTGCTGTAGATTTGGAGTTTGCGGTGTCTCTCTCTATCTCCCCGCGTTCGCGTGGATTTTTCTCCGGGTCCTCCGGGTTTTCCCTCCGCAATCAACGTCACGGCGTTTGGAGTGTCTGGCTGCTCTAAATGTCCACGTGACGTTAAGCCACTTCCTTGAGCTATCGTTTGTGATCGCCAGGTCGTTTCTAATAAACGAGCTATACAGCTCAGCGGGCCTTACCTGGTAAAATAAAAAAAATATTTAATAGTTCTGTAAAGTTGTTTAGTGGAGTGATGTCTATGATTGGGTGTTGTCCTTGCCTGACTTTTTGTTCAGCCGCTCTCTGCGGGCAATCTCAGCGTGGGGGGGGGGGGTCACACGTAAATAATTATTTATTTAATTTAAGCCCCGGGTGTGCGAGCGCGTGGCTGCCTGCGTCAATTTCCACCGAGTCGAATTCGCTTTCGTTTTCTACAAAGGCAGCGTGAACGCGATTTTCTGGATTGAGTTAGGAATTCAATTTGAGAGGGGGGGGGGGGAGGGGGTATGTTGCGGGGTGGGCTGTTTGTGACTGTGTGTGTTGTGTGTGGGAAGCGGTAGTGCTGAGCTGTTAGCGCTACGCTGCGCTACGAACCCGGCGATCCGAGTTAGATTTCGGCCGCGCGTGGTGCTGGCCACCCACCCCCTCGTGCGCCGTGCCGACCTTCATAGGTGCTCGCTAGCAGCACTTGCCCCGACATTCTGCTGAGGCTATACGGAGGGGGCGTCTTCGTCTTTTGTGCCTTTTGTAAGTCTGTGCGCGGACTCGCATCGCGCGTTTATTCATCGTTCAATGAAGTCGAGCGCACGCGGTTTTTTTTCTGCTCGCTCATTTTGCCATTTTCCCGCCGCTCACTCATTGAAATCCCTCGCTCGCTCAGTCACCCGCGGCACAATTTTTTTTATATTTACAGTTAATCTCTTTTTAAGTGATTACAGCGCACCGCGTTATTTCAAAACCAGAGAGAGCCCATTTGAGACCGAGAATAAATACATATATATTTGAATTTTTTGTTTCGAGAATAGCTGAGTCGATGCCACCAAAGCGGTGCGGCGTCGGACGGTGCACTGGACTTGCCAATCCTCACCACGTCGGTTCGATTCCACCTCCCGGCGTGGTGGTTGAAACAACGGTGCTTTTCCCCCGCTTCCCCCCCCCACCTTCCCACAAGGCTCTACATATTTTATCGACCCCTCCCTGGAAGGACGATGGACTGGGTCAACAACTCCGTTAGCTCGACCGCTTGAGCCACCTAGTAAACACGTTGGCCGTGTAATTTTAAAACAAAATCACCGCCAACAAAAACAAATGCTTTTGTGTTTATTCCCAACCCCCCGCTTGTCTCTGACCCCCCCCCCGCCATCCCGTCGCTCGTGACCCCCGTGACCCCCGTGAGCCAGCGAGCCACCGGGCTGTGAACCCGTGCGACGATGGGAGCCACAACTGCGACTACGCGGACCGCTCGCGCTGCGTCGCCACGGGGCCCGCAGCCTTCCGCTGCGAATGCCTCGCTGGATACACGGGCAACGGCCGGGTGTGCACCGGTACGCGCGCGTGCGCACGTGGACACACGCGTGCGGGTGAACACACATGTGAACACGCGCACGCATGCGAACACGCCCATGAGCACGCGCGTGAGCACACGCACGCAAGAAACACGCACACACGTCCGTACGCATATGCATGCACCGCACACGCGCTCGTACGTACACGCACGACAACAACGACAAACAGCCGCCATTCGTCACCACGGCGCTTGTGCCAGGCCAGGTTGCACTTTGAGGCCACGTGAAGTGTCGAAGGCTCGCTGGCAGGAGGTCACGGGACAGACTCAGGTGCCATGGGTTGGCTGACTGAGATGACTGGCTGATGCACCACACACGTACAAAGACGCTCGCACGTGTACTCTATTGCTGACCTGTTCACCTGCTTGGGTGCTAACCTTTCATCTTCTCACCTGCCCACTCACCCACTTACTCCCCCACTCACTTGACCCTCTCATTTGCTCATTTCACCCACGCACTCACCCACTCACTCACCCACGCACTCACCCACTCACTCACTCACTCACCCACTCACTCACTCACCCACTCACTCACCCACGCACTCACCCACTCACTCACTCACTCACCCACTCACTCACTCACCCACTCACTCGCTCACTCACTCACCCACTTACTCACCCACTCACCCACTCACTCACTCACCCACTCACTCACTCATCCACTCACCTGCTCACTCATCCACCCACGCACCCACTCATCCACCCACTCACTCACTCACCCACTCACTCACTCACTCACCCGCTCACTCACCCACCCACGCACCCACTCACTCACTCACTCACCCACTCACTCACTCACTCACCCACTCACCCATTCACCCACTCACTCACCCACTCACCCACTCACCCACTCACTCACTCACGCACTCACGCACGCACGCTCCCTCAATCCCTAACGTACCCACTCACTCATTTTACTTGCCCAATCACCCACTCATTCACCCCCCAACCCAATAACCCCCTAACCCGCTCGCCCCCCAACAACCCGCTCCCCCCCGCCACCACCGTCCGTCCGCGTGTCCCCCAGACGTGGACGAGTGCTCCGCGAGCCGCTGCCACTCCCACGGCGTCTGCCACAACTCCCCCGGCTCCTTCTCGTGCCGCTGCAACCCGGGCTACGAGGGCGACGGTTTCCAGTGCAGCCCCGTGCAGAACGGTGAGCCACCACCGCCGCCGCCTCCCCCGTCGGTCGTAGTTCCGCGGGGTCCGCTCTCCGCTCCAATACGGCGCGCGGGGAGGGGGACGTGGATTCACAACCGGGATGCAATTGGAAGATTTTTTTTTTATCGTGTATAAATCTATTTTTTTTTTCCAAAGCAGCGATGCTGCCGCCGGCGTAGCAATGGGGCAGCACGCCCGGACGTGCAATCCAAGAGGTCGCCCGGCTCCGTTGAATCTCCCCGGCGCCTCTGCCCACCCGGCGCTGTGAATGGGTCCAACCGTCGTGGCCCATCGGGCAGGGTCACGTGTCGTCGGAGGTGGTAGAGTGTGGGGAGCTCCCAGCTCCGCGCAGGACGTCTGGCCAGCCCGGAAGAGTAGGCCAATAACACCCTCGAGATAGAGATGTCCTCCCTAAAAAAAAATGTCTCTTAGCGGAGGCCGTTCCGTCAGTAACCACTGGATTGAGTGAGCCGTTGCGGGGCTGCGCCTTTATCCCATGTGATTCGCACTTCTTCTAAGACATATCCGGGCGGCGTGGAGGAGTCTGCCTAACAACAGCGTCTAGAGTTGAACTCTCTTCAGAGTTCCCTCTGCCGGTAACCACCGGGAGTGGGGGGAGAGAGAAGAGAGAAACAAAATTGGGAGTGAGCGAGCGAGCATTTTATGTTTTTGCCGACAGGCGGAGGCGGTGGGAAGTCGACGTGCGAGCGGTGGCGGGACAGCCTCGTGGGCTCCTCGGGGGGCGCCGCTCTGCTCCCCCGCGGGCCCCGCCCCGTGGGGCACTACGTGCCGCAGTGCGGCGCCGATGGAACCTTCCTCCCCGTGCAGTGCCACCACGGCACGGGCTACTGCTGGTGCGTGGACGCCGAGGGCCAGGAGCAGGCGGGCACGCGCACGCCGCCCGGCACCGAGCCCCCCTGTGAGTGGACGGGGGGGGGGGGGGGGTTGGGGGTGGTGCGGGGGTGGGAGGCGGAATGGGTGGGTGAGTGGTAGGGTGGGTGGGTGAGTGGTAGGGTGGGTGGGTGAGTGGTAGGGTGGGTGGGTGAGTGGTAGGGTGGGTGGGTGAGTGGTAGGGTGGGTGGGTGAGTGGTAGGGTGGGTGGGTGAGTGGGTGAGTGGTAGGGTGGGTGGGTGAGTGGTAGGGTGAGTGGGTGAGTGGGTCGGTGGGTGGGTGAGTGGGTGGGTGGGTGAGTGGTAGGGTGGGTGAGTGGGTGGGTGGGTGAGTGGTAGGGTGGGTGGGTGAGTGGAGATGTTGGGGGGAGTGGGTGGCTGAGTGACTGAGTGAGTGGAGGCGGTGAGTACGTGCTTGAGTATGTGTGGGCGGGCGAGCGGAACGATCCGAACCGGTGATGCATCCTTCCTGAACCGCTGGCTCCCTCCTGCCTCCCCTGCTTCCCGCTCCGCCGGCCCCCGACCCCGACCCCGACCCCGACCCCGACCCCAGGTCTCCCGACGGCCGCCCCCCCCGTGGTGCGCCCGACGCACCGCCCGGACGTCGTGCCGCCCCCTCCCGGCACGTCGCTGGTCTTCGCGCAGGGGCAGCTGCTGAGCAGCGTGCCGCTCGACGGCACGGCGCTGCGCAAGGAGCAGGCGCGCGCCGTGCTCGTGCTGCACGTACGTGTGGAGCGCCACGCACGCATAGACAACAAGGGTGCCCCGCGTAGCCTTCAGGGGGGCAAGTGCGGTTACGGAGTAGCAGCAGCAGCAGCAGCGCCTACGAAGGCCCCGCGCGGCACACGGGGGCGTGGGGTGGGCAGTCCGCACGCCCGACCGCCTTTGCCTCCCGAGTGGCGACGTTTACACACCGCGCCAGGTACTCGTTTAAGGCTGAGTGGACCTAGGGGAGGCCCAGGACCGGTTCATATAATCGTCAGCGGTGTTGGTGGCTGTGAATAGGAATCGAACTTGGGGGCGTGGCCTGGTTCGTAGCGCAGCGCGCGAACCTCCGTGCAAACAAAGGCAAAGATCCCCCGTGTAGCCTTAGCAGACTGTCGGGGCAAGTGCTGTTAGCGAGCACCTATGAAGGCCGACACGGCGCACGAGGTGGTGGGTGGCCAACACCAGGCCCGGCCGCCACATGCACACACACGCACACACACACACGCACACACACGCGCAAGCCCACAGCTGCTGTGGACGTCAACGCTACCAATGTTAAGGGCATCGACTCGAGCGAATGCACGAGCGAGAGAGCGAGCGAGCACGGCAATGGCAGAGCGAGCGAGCGAGCGGACACGGTGAATGAGTGCACAGTCACGAGACACGGCCGCCTCTTAACCTGCTGCCGCCGCTGCCACCTCCATCGTCGCGTCCAGGGCACGATCGTGGTAGGCGTCGCGCACGACTGCGTGGAGAACAAGGTCTACTGGACGGACATCGCCACCCGCACCATCAGCCGCGCCAGCCTGCACGGCGGGGAGCCCGAGGTCATCGTCCGCACCGGTGAGCACTGGCGGCGGCGGCGCCAGCACCAGTGACGGCGCCGGCACCAGTGATGGCGCCGGCACCAGTGACGGCGCCGGCACCAGTGACGGCGCCGGCACCAGTGACGGCGCCGGCACCAGTGACGGCGCCGGCACCAGTGACGGCGCCGGCACCAGTGACGGCGCCGGCACCAGTGACGGCGCCGGCACCAGTGACGGCGCCGGCACCAGTGACGGCGCCGGCACCAGTGACGGCGCCGGCACCAGTGACGGCAGCGTGCCGTCACTGATGCCAGTGACGGTGCCGGCACCGGTGACGGCGCCGGTGACGGTGCCGGCGCCAGTGACGGCACCAGTGCCGGCACCAGTGATGGCACCAGTGACGGCGCCGGCACCAGTGGCGGTGCCGGCGCCGTCACTGGTGCCGGCGCCGGTGACGGCATCGGTCGCGTTTCCCCACAACGAGCGCCGCCGCTAACCGGCACGGCGGGCGCGCGGAGCATGGAGAGAGGGGGGGCTCTTCCGTCTCTTGAGTGGACTTGCGGGGGGGGGGGGTGCGAGGAGGGGGGGGGGGGGCGCACTTGCACCAGCGCTGGCACGTGCTGGCTGTTTGCAGGGCTGCGCCTTCACCTCCACCTTTCCTCCTGCCGTGACAGACGTGGCTCAGACGTGTTCGTTCGTGCGCCGCGGCCGGCCGATGGGATTTCAAAGTCTCATTTGGCCCTGGGAGGCCGTTCTCCACCCTGTCCCCACCCTTCAACCCCTTTCTCGTGTAAACAGCAATCGCAACCCTCGCTAGGGCTGGGGGATCTGGGAGACTCGCTTAACCGGCTGCCTTGCCCAGCCGGAGGTGCTCGCTTTTGAAAAGCGCGTTCATACCCGGCTTGCCTAAAAGCTCGGAAATTCCTCTCGGCCCCCGTGAAATGAACGTTAATTGAGGCCTCCGGTCTACCAAGACGCTGGCGACTGTTTCATCACGCGCACCGCATGCCGTGGTCGAACCGAGACACACCGCAGGGCACGGCAACGCACCCACCTCACTCGCTCACGCGCTCGCTCTCTCGCTCACCCCACTCACTGCGCTGCTGGTCACAACCACTCACTCACCGCACGCACTCACTCGATCACTTAACTACTCAACTGCTCGCCCACACACTCACTCAATCGCTCACTTACTCATTCACACGCCCACTCATTAATCAAGTCGCTCACCTACTCGCTTACGCAGGATCACGCGGCTATCGGAAAATTCTCCCCGCTGCGCCAGATCGCTCGGCTTTCACGATATCCCCTGTGCCAGATCGCGCGCCTCTGGTTATCTTGGTTGGCTACGTACGGTGCGAAAAAAGTCCAACATACATACGCACGCGGCTATCACTATACCCCCTATCCACTATCCGCGGTATATCCCCCTCTCCCCCTCTCCCTCCCCCCCCTCCCCCGTGTACCGCGAGCAGATCTGCGGAGCCCCGAGGGTCTGGCCATCGACCACCTGGGCCGCAACGTCTTCTGGACGGACTCGGGCTCCGACCGCATCGAGGTGGCGCGCCTCGACGGCTCCCACCGCCGCGTGCTCTTCGACACGGGGCTCGTGAACCCCCGGGCCATCGTCGCCGACCCCAGCGGAGGGTAGGCGTCCCCCCGCCGCGCGACTCCCTGCGTTTTGCCAGCGTCCCCCGGAGTGGCCCGGTGACTCCCGGCATCTCCCGGCGGGTCCCGGCGTTTCGCGGAGTCTCCCGGTCGCGTCCCGGCTTCTCGCCGCGTTCTTCCGACGTCACGGTGCACTGTTTGAAAGGAAAATGAAAAGCGTGTTTTGCTGTCCTTTCCCCGAGCGACCCTCCGCCACCACGCACGGCGTGTGGGAGACTCTCATCCAGAAGCGGATCGAGCGAAGCTCACTCGAGAACGAAAACTCGATTCTCGAGAGCTGCTTTTCGCGTTGAGTTTGCCGTCCTTCCCGCGCACCTCCGGTTAGCCACGGTTGTGCTAATGTACTGTGCGAAAGAAGTTCCACGTACACACACACACACGTACATACCGGATACAAGTGTGGAGGGCGGGGAGGGGGGGGTATAGGGGTGGTGTCCATCTTACTTTCCGGGCGTCTCGTATAATGCGGAGAATACCCGTAATTGTCCCATCCTGACCTCCCTGGATCGAAGCGTCGTTTAATCCGATGGCCGCTCACTTTGGTGGTCGCGAGGATCGTCCCTCATCGCCTCCCGGCGAGTCAGTAGGCCACGTGACCGTTCAACCCGGCGCGTCGGGTGGTGGAGGGTTTTTTCACGACACAGGTCTGGTGAGATCGTTGATGCTCTCATAGAGAGGTAAGCAATCATGAGTCGAGCGAGGTCACAGCGGCGACGACAGGACCCACGAAGGGCGGTCGGCTTGCACCGGACGCGAACCGACAAACGCGGCCACTCCGCGAACACCGAGCGGTTTAAAAATAAAACACGGGCAATAAAAATCGGGAGAATCTAAATTGCAACGTCCGTCCCCAGCAGAGCCTCATCCGGTGCGCGCTCCCACGGCGCATTCGTCAAAGTGCCCCGCGGACCCCACCCCTAATGCCGCGATAAGATCGCCCCAATTCCCCCTCTCTCTCTCCCCACCACGCCCCCCACACAACCCCCCCCCCCTTACCGGGCGGGGGAATTCTGCTTCTCTCTCGCGGCCTTTAATTACGCTTCCTCCGGGTCTCCCCGCCGGGTGAGGGAGTGGCGGCGTAGCCGTTGTCCCTATAAACACACAAAACAATTATCGTGAACTACGCCTATGGCGCGTCTGTGTGTGTGTGTCTGTGTGTGTCTGACGGTAGGGTGAGCGGTGGTGTAGTGGTTAGCGCGCCGCAACTACAAACCTGGCGACCCGAGTTTGATTCCCGCTCACGGTCGACGCCCGTGACGATTATCTGAACCGGTCCTGGGCCTCGCCTTGGTCGACTCAGCCTCAAATAAGTACCTGGTGCGGTGTGTGAACATCGCCACTGGGGAGACAAAGGCGGCTGGGCGTGGTGCTGAGCCACCCACCCCCTCGTGAGCTGTACTGGCTTTCATAGGTGCTCGCTAACAGCACTTGCCCCAACAGCCTGCGAAAGGCTATCCGGGGTATGTTTGTCTTTGTGTGACGATGACGCTGCTGCCGCTGCTGCTGAGGTTGCAGTGACCAGCCTAGGGTGGCTTCACATGTCCGGGGATTTTACCTCTGGAACTCTCCAGCAATTGGCATGCGTACGTGCGCGTTTGTGTGCGTGTTGAACTCCTTCCTGCACCGTACGTAGCCGAGCGTGCTAACCGCCAGGCTGCACGTGCGGTGGACAAGAGGCCCGGCGTCGTCCTCCGCCTCCCTGCGGTCACCCACGAATGTCCTCGAGACTCCCGCGTGGGGCCGGCCTCGTTTTGTCGACGTTGTTTTGCCGTTCTCTCCTCTGCTGCCCCCCTCCCCCGGCCCCACCCGTACCCCCCACCCCCCCCTCGGCCCCCGTGCCCTCGTGCTGGCCATCGTGAACCAGGCTGCTGTACTGGACAGACTGGAATCGCGAGTCCCCCAGGATCGAGACGGCCAACATGGATGGCACTGGTCGCCGGGTGCTCGTCGGAGACGACCTCGGACTGCCCAACGGACTCACCTTTGACCCCTACTCGCACCAGCTGTGCTGGGCCGATGCCGGTGCGCTGGGGACTGTGTGGCCGTGGCGATGATGAAGATGGTGATGGTGGTGGTGAAAGTGGTGGTGGTGAAAGTGGTGGTGGTGAAAGTGGTGAAAGTGGTGATGGTGAAAGTGGTGGTGGTGGTGGTGAAAGTGGTGGTGGTGGTGGTGAAAGTGGTGGTGGTGGTAAAAGTGGTGGTGGTGGTGAAAGTGGTGGTGGTGAAAGTGGTGGTGGTGGTGGTGAAAGTGGTGGTGGTGAAAGTGGTGGTGGAGATAGCGGGCAGTGGTGGTGCAGCGGTTAGCGCGCTGCGCTACGGTCCCAGTTCGATTGCCCCTCACAGCCAACACAGGTGACGGTTATCTGAATCAGTCGTGGGCCTCCCCTAGGTAGACTCAGCCTCAAATGAATACCTGGTGTGGTGTGTAAAAACATTACCACTGGGGAGACAAAGGCGGCCGGGCGTGGTGATGGCCACCCACCCCCTCGCGTGCCGTTCTGGCCTTCATTGGTGCTCGTGAACAGCACTTGCCCTAACAGTCCGTCAAAGGCTATACGGGGGATCTTTGCCTTTTGGTGAAGATGGCGGCAGTGGTGATGATGGTACCGGTGGTGCAGTGCGGGGTTGTGTTGGAGGCAGTGGTGGCCGTGATGGTGGTGGTGTTGATTGGTGGCGATGGTGGCGGCGGTGGTGGTAGTGGTGTTCTCCTGTCTCCCATTCTGTCTCTGTGTCCCCCCCATCACTGCCACCGGGTCATGCGTGATCCCTGCGTGTCCTCCTCATACCGCGTCCTGTGTCTCCACGTGTCGCCCACTGCGTGTCTCCGTGCGTATCCCCCCAAATCCCCTCCCCCCACGTCTCCCCGCGTCTCCCCCCATGCCCCCTCTACCATGTCTCATGCCCCGTGTATCCCCCCCCCCCCACCGTGTGTCCCTCCACCGACCCAGGCACCCGTCGTCTTGAGTGCATGCACCGGGGCCAGGGCCCACGGCGCCGCTTCCTCGAGGGGCTCCAGTACCCGTTCGGCATCGCCGCCTACGCCGACCACCTCTACTACACCGACTGGCGCCGGTAACGCGGCGCCCGCATGGACACCCCCCCCCCCACGCTAGCGCCGCCCTCCCCAGCCCCCCCCCCGCCCCCGCCCCGCTCCCCCCAAGCCACCGCTGACTCGCCGTTGACGCGACGAAGGCAAAGGTCCCCCGTGTAGCATTTTCGGACCGTGGGGGCAAGTGGCGTTAGTGAGCGGCACCTGTGAAGGCCGGCACGGAGCACGATGGGGATGGGTGGCTGACAGCACCACGCCCGCCCGACGTTGTCTCCTCCTCCTCCTCCGCGGCGGCGGCGGCGGCGGCGGCGATGTTTATACGCACGCCGCACCGCGCGCTCATCTGAGGCTGAGTCGACCTTGGGGAGGGCCCAGGGCCGGTTCAGACAATCGTCACCGATGTCAACTGGCGGGCGGGAATCGAACTCGGGTAGCACCGGGGGTAACCCATGAACATCGGAACAATGTTCGCTCAACGCTGGCTCAGCGTTCCACATTTAATGGATAGGCAACCTCACATCCAGCAGAGACGCTTTCTCTTAAACGTGCTTCGGGCAGGACCCTCCTGAAGGGGAGTCTCGAGACTCCGCGATGCACGGCAGCCGCAGCAGTAGCAATGACGACGACGGCGACTTTAATTTTGACCAGGTGGCAACTGGAGAGACAGGCATAAGTCGCGGCTGCAAGAGTGACACTCAAGCTTCCAAGCTGCCCCTCTCTCTCTCTCTCCCTCCCTATCTGTCTCTCCGTCTCACCAACACAAACCCAGCTCACGTTCCGCGCTCGCATCCCGTGCTATCCACGCATTCCCGCTGTCGCGACCAACTCGGGGCAAACGAATCACAGCGAGTGGCAGCAAACAGCAGCGGCGGCGGCGGCGGCAGCGGCAGCAGGAGAACAGAGCCCCTTGTGTCAGGGGCTGGGTTGGGCATTTTTTGGTTTCGCTTCCACCGTGTGGAAGATGTATGACCCCCGTGTGTCTGATCGGACATCTGTGTCCAATTCCAAGCCTGGATTATGTGAGTTGGATGTCATCGCGGGCGGGCGGGCGGGTGAGCGGGTGAGCGGGTGAGCGGGTGAGCGGGTGAGTGGGTGGGCGGGTGAGCGGGTGAGTGGGTGAGTGGGTGGGCGGGTGAGCGGATGAGTGGGTGAGCGGGTGAGTGGGTGGGCGGGTGAGCGGGTGAGTGGGTGAGTGGGTCGGTGGGTGAGTGGGTGGGTGGGTGAGCGGGTGAGTGGGTGGGCGGGTGAGCGGGTGAGTGGGTGAGCGAGTGAGCGGGTGAGTGGGTGAGTGGGTAGGCGGGTGAGTGGGTGGGCGGGTGAGCGGGTGAGCGGGTGAGCGAGTGAGCGGGTGAGTGGGTGAGCGGGTGAGTGGGTGGGCGGGTGAGAGGGTGAATGGGTGAGCGAGTGAGCGGGTGAGCGGGTGAGCGGGTGGTTGGATTTGACCCGTGGAGGGAGGAGGAGGAGGCTGGTGATGTCAGTTGGCGGGGGGTTGGAGCTTTTTGTTGTCTGTCGCGTTATTGAGGCAAACGAGGACCCGAGCCATTTGCTCGGGCGGTTCGAGCCTGGCGGACGCCCCGGTCAATACTGCGGCTGTGGTCGCGTAGCGGTTCTCGCCTCTCTTTTCTTTCTCTCTCGTTATTCATCGGTAAATCGGTTTGCCCGGCTGCAGAATGCCACCGGGGGGGGGGGGGGGGGCAGGCCACGCTGAGTCGTCATCGTCGCTGTAGAACCTCACCAGCGGGGCCGTGCCCAGCCACAGCCTGCTGGGAGAAGAGCGAGCGGTACACCGCAGACCAGTTCCCACGTTGTGAAGGAGAGTGGTTGAGTAGTGGCAGTGGTAAATCCCGGTGGGGGGTGGGGGGGGGCAAGGGTGGAGGGGTAGGGGGGGGTGATTGCCCCCCACCCCCTCCCCACGGTTCCAATCGAGCTGTCAACGCGTCTTGTGCGGCGCTGGTGCTCGCTCACGGCAGCCCTGATCCCCGCTGCTGGTGGAGTGGGGGGCTCGGAGCTTAGTGCGAGACTGCGGGGCGTAGGAGATGGGGTGGAGGGGCTGGGCAGGGGGAGCGCGATGATTTTAATCCGCGTTGACACAAGAACTCAACACTTTGCTCAATAACACTGCGACCTTAAACCGTAAAAAAAAAATACTTCATATATATACAAAAAAAACTAGGCTAAGCCAAAACTCCTCGCTGTTTCTCATTTGACCAGGTAGTGCCCACTCAGCTATGATCCCTTGCTGTTGTTGCTGTTCAGAGGCGACCGCACCACAAGCGATGAAGGCTCATCATCGTAGTGGCTGATAGCATCATCACCAACATCATCATAGTGGAGGACGAGGAGAAGTGGGGGGGGGGGCAAACCCGGAGGATGAATCGGGAGAATGATCCACGCTGGGTCACCACGGGGAGAGAGAGAGAACACAAATATACTACAGCAGCAGCAGCAGCTGGGATCGAACCCCACGCTCCTGCTACGAGATAAACGCCTCCTCGCCACCGCTGGTGATGTTGCGGGAAATGGTCCTTCTTCATCAATGGGGGCCATTGCCCGAAACGTCGCTTATTATATGTATTTCATGTAGAAATCGATTTCCTTTCAAAAGGCCGCTGTGTAACTGACGAACGAGTCTTGGAGTTCGTCGACGTCGATGTTGTTAACGACTACCGACGCAGCAGCAGCAGCAGCAGCACTCAACAACGATGATGATGATGATGGCGATGAGTTTGATTTGTGTCTGGGCGCCACCGCTCGTTCAGTGGCGTGGAAGAATTCCACGCGGGAGGAGAGAGAGAAGGGGGGGGCGAGTGGGGGAGGAGAGGGGGGGAGGAGAGGGGGGGAGGGGAGTGGGGGAGGAGAGGGAGGGAGAGGGGGAGTAGAGGGGGAGGAGAGGGGGGAGGAGAGGGGGGGAGGAGAGGGAGGAGGAGAGGGGGGGGGATTAGAGGGGAGGATGATAGGGGGGAGGAGAGGGGGGGGAAGAAGAGGGGGGGGGAAGAAGAGGGGGGGGGGGCGGCTGGATTCTGGGGAAATTCTAGAGATGCCAGGCAAAGCGGGACGTCCCCGGCCATCCCGTGATGGTTGTGTTGCTCCGATTCAACTGATTGGTCCATGCGCCACGCAGTGCCACGCACAATGAACAATGCACACACGCAGACACACACACACGCAGACACACACACACGCATACACGCAGACACACACACACGCAGACACGCAGGCAGACACACACGCAGACACACACACACGCAGACACACACACACGCAGACACACACGCAGACACACACACACGCAGACACGCAGGCAGACACACACGCAGACACACACGCAGACACGCAGACACGCAGGCAGACACACACGCAGACACGCAGACACACACACGCACACACACACGCAGGCACACACGCAGGCAGACACACACGCACTGCGCCCCGCATAACACGCAGCGTGGAGGGTAAATACCCAGCCCACACTACGTGCATGCGTACTGCACAAAGACCCCCCCCACCCCAACTTGTATAGCTGTTGCAGACTGTAGGGGCAAGTGCTGTTAGCGAGGAGCACCTCCTATGAAGGCCGCCACGGTATTCGAGGCGGTAGTTCGGCTAGGACCACGCCCAGTTGCCTTTGTCTCCCCGGTGACGATGTTTACACGACGCACCAGTGTTGCATTTGAGGCTGAGTTGACCTAGGGGAGGCCCAGGAATGTTTCCAATAATCGTCACTGGTGTTGCTGGTGGTGAGCGGGAATCAAACTCGGGAGGTTGGGTTCATGGCGCAGCGCTTTAGCCACTTCACGGCCGGTCCCACTCCACACACCACCCACACACACTACCCACTACCCACTCCACACACCACCCACACACACTACCCACTCCACACACCACCCACACACACTACCCACTACACACTCCACACACCACCCACACACACTACCCACTACCCACTCCACACACCACCCACACACACTACCCACTACCCACTCCACACACCACCCACACACACTACCCACTCCACACACCACCCACACACACTACCCACTACACACTCCACACACCACCCACACACACTACCCACTACCCACTCCACACACCACCCACACACACTACCCACTCCACACACCACCCACACACACTACCCACTACACACTCCACACACCACCCACACACACTACCCACTCCACACACCACCCACACACACTACCCACTACACACTCCACACACCACCCACACACCACACACTACCCACTCCACACACCACCCACACACACTACCCACTCCACACACCACCCACACACACTACCCACTACCCACTCCACACACCACCCACACACACTACCCACTACCCACTCCACACACCACCCACACACCACACACTACCCACTCCACACACTACACACACACACCACCCACACTCACTACCCACTCCACACACCACCCACACACACTTCGAACTACCCACTCCACACACTCCACACACCACCCACACACCACACACTACCCACTCCACACACCAACCACCCACACTCACTACCCACTCCACACACCACCCACACACACTACACACTCCACACACCACCCACACACCACACACTACCCACTCCACACACTACCCACACACACTACCCACTACCCACTCCACACACCACCCACACACCACACACTACACACTCCACACACTACCCACACACCACACACTACCCACTCCACACACCACCCACACACACTACCCACTCCACACACCACCCACACACCACACACTACCCACTCCACACACCACCCACACACACTACCCACTACCCACTCCACACACCACCCACACACCACACACTACCCACTCCACACACCACCCACACACACTACCCACTACCCACTCCACACACCACCCACCCACACTACACACTCCACACACCACCCACACACCACACACTACCCACTCCACACCCCACCCACACACACTACCCACTCCACACACCACCCACACACCACACACTACCCACTCCACACACTACCCACACACCACACA